CTGCTATGCAGCGCCGGCACTGAGCTCGCTTTTCTGAAACCCTCTTTCACGATGGAGCACCGCCATGACTCCTTCTGAGACCGGGACCGGACCGGGGGTCCCGAGTCGTCCTTGGATCTTCCATGGAGCCCATCTCCTGAGGCGCTGAGGGCCGTCTCAGAACGTGACGTCTCAGAACAGGCCAAAGAGTCTGTTCGGGCCAGTGGGGCAAAACTCAGCTCCAGAATCTGTTTGGCGCTCTCACAGATCTGACTCTGAACAAAGAAACAGATTGATGACACTTGTTCGCATCTACAGGCATCAGGTCCTCAGTCTGCCTCCTACCTGGATCTCTGGGGTGAGGGTCGGCAGGTCAAAGGTGAACACAGAGGTGGACCCAGAAGTCAGCAGGTCCACACTGTCCAGACTGCTGTAGGACGTCCCTTTGGCTCGGTGGGACTCCATGATGCTCTCAAAGTGGCGACTGAAGGAGTCCAAGTTGCTTTCAGACGGCCGGCGGGGACTGTCGACCGAGATCGGAGTCTTCAGGCCTCCATGGGCATCAGACGATGGCTCCAAAGTCCTGGTGGATGAGAATCTATCACACTTTGTGGGCCAAACCCGGGGTGGGGGGTCAGACAGCATGGGCAGGAAAGGAGTAGCTCAGTTTAGAGGATCTGTTGCTCTAATAGCCAAAGTTCTCCTCTGATCCTTTCCTGTGTTTATGGTCTAGTTTAAGTACAGAAAAAATATCAGCCAATCACAGGCAAATAGGATGGACTTTCTCCATCCAGGATCCTGTAATCTGTCAAACTTTTACCTCTGTTGGTCCAAGAAAATAGAATAATTGGACAGAATCCATCTAATCTAGATCCAACTATTAAAGATGACCGAATCTGGATAATCACCTCTAACTCAGATTTTATTCACCCTAAAGGCAGAAAGGTATGCAGAAGCTACTCTGTAGGAAGGTTCTACGGCTTCCTCCAACAGCCCAAAATCATGACTGGTAAAGCCTCCATGACTTCCTGTAACAAGTGCTAATGTCTTAACCAGTGCAGATCAACCTTCTACCCTTGTAACAGGACGGAGAATGACAATTATTTTCCTCTGCATTAGATGATAAAAATTTTTATATGATAACAGTGTTGGATGATAACGGTGTTGGATTATAACAGGGTAGGATGATAACAGAGATTGGATTTATTGAATTTATATGATCTTGCAGTGGAGAAATTTACTACTAACATGGCGGATGATAAAGGTGTTGGATGATAAGTGTCAGATGATGACGCCTTGGATAATAACAGTGTCTTGTTGAATGATAACAGTGTCGGATGATGACGGTGTTGGATGATGACATTGTCGGATGATGACGGTGTCGGATGATGACGTGTCGGATGATGACATGGTTGGATGATAACGGTGTGGGATGATGACGGTGTCGGATGATGATGTGTCGGATGATGACAGTGTCTGATGATGACGGTGTCGGATGATGACAGTGTCGGATGATGACGTGTCGGATGATGGTGTTGGATAATGACAGTGTCGGATGATGACGTGTCGGATGATGGTGTTGGATAATGACAGTGTCGGATGATGACGGTGTCAGATGATGACGTGGAGAATGATGACGGTGTCTGATGATGACGTGTCGGATGATGACAGTGTTGGATGATGACAGTGTTGGATGATGACGGTGTCGGATGATGACGGTGTCGGATGATGACGGTGTTGGAAGATAGCAGAGTTGGATTATACCAGTGTAGGATGATAGTGATAGATTTATAACTATTGATCTCACAGTGGAGAAAGTTACTACTAACAAAGTTGGATGATAAAGGATGATGACAGTGTCGGATGATGACGTTGTCCGATGATGACCTTGTCGGATGATGATGGTGTTGGATGATGACAGTGTTGGATGATGAGAGTGTTGGATGATAACGGTGTCAGATTATAACGATGTTGGTTGATAAAGGTGTTGGATGGAAACAGCCTCTCACCGTTTCAGCAGCAGACTGAACACCTCCTCTTCTTCCTGAGTCACTCTCTGTCTCTGCCGGTCACCCTGCATCCTGACGCTGGCCCAGCTCACTACTCCTTCCTCCTCCTCCTCATCATCTTCATCCTCGTCTTCTTCTTCTTCCTGTCCATTCTGCTCTCTCCGCCCACCTGTGTTGGACTGGTGGCAGACGTCCTCAGGGCTGAAGCAGGACTTTCCTAGAAGGCAGCGGTTACTGCTGAAAGCAGAGTCGGCCTCCTCGGCGGCCTCAGCCTCCGCTCGCATCACCTGAACAACAAGAACACCTTCGGACTATTGGACCAGAACCCCAAACTCATTCAGCCCAGCAGAACCAGCTCACCTCGTCCAGGTCCGTCTCCCTGTAGCAGCGCAGCGGCACGGCGTCCAGATCTGTCTCAGAGTATTTGATGGACCGTCGGATGATGCCGGTCTTGGGGGCGGGTTCTTGGGGGTGGGGGGTGACCAGCTCCACCTCAACCTGCTGGACCTCGTGATGCGAGAGCTTTTGATCCCGCAGTTCCCAACACCTCCTCTGATTGGATGGCTGCAGGGGGAGGGGGGAGGTAGGGGAGGGGCTGGGTGAGCAGCTGGTGGGAGGGGTCGAGGACGAAGTGTCTGTGTGAAGAGAGAAATACGTGAGGAGACCGGACCTGAAGACACCGGACCTGTTTGACAGCTCAGATGGGTCTGAACAGGTTTATTTCTCAGAACTTTGAACAGATTCTAAACTGGTCAAGAGATGATCTCACATTTTCTCTATTGGTTTTCCATTCCCCTTAAAGACCCAGTAGTTCTGAGGTCTGATATGATCTCCATACAGGTTGGGTTCAAACATCTGACTGAGTAAGAATAAAAAGTCCAAACAGAACCATCAACTTCCAGCACTGATTTAGAAGCTCCTTCAGTTCCTGGCAGAACTTTCTGCAGCTCAGAGAGTAAAGACTGACCCAGCTCCAAAGAAGGAACCCAGCACCAGCTGATTCTGACGGAACCAAGCATCAGTGCTTTGTCTGGGTAAAGAACAGAACCGATCCGATGGAGGCAGCCGGCATTCTGAGTAAAGAACAGGAAGTGAAGGTGGAGGCTTCTGACGTCTGCTAAGCTTCTGCTAATTGGCTTACTGGAAGCCGCTTGTTTACTGCTCCCAGTCCGACCAGCTAAGCAGGTGGAACTTTTCATCAATGGTTCTGAGCAGAACCCAGGGAGGGGTTGATAAAGTGTCCAACCTTTGCTGCGATCACTGTGGTCCGTCGGGCCTCCGAACAGGAACTCCCACTTTGCTCTGGCGATCTTCTGAGAGTGAGAAGATGGGCCGGATGGAGAGCCGCCGTCCAGCTGCAGGAGTAGAGAAAACACTGGTTTGTGTTGCTATGGGAACAGAGTCAGGAACATAGGGTCTCCATGTTTAGATAAAGCAGGTCTGTCACTAGAGCAGATCCAGGAAACCAAAGATGAATCTAAGCAGAACATCTGATACCAGAACCAGCAGGTTTTTATTTCTTTAGAGGAACAGTCCGAATGTTTCCATAGGAACAGCTAACAGAATATCTCAGACCTATTAAGGTCAGCCTTACATGGATTCTGGTTCTGAAACCATGTTGCTCTGTTGTGTCTGGGTCAGAATCCCCTCCAGTTTAATTCAGAACAAACAGAACCCATCACTGTGAGGACAGAAACCAGAGTTCAGCTGGACCCAACAGAACCAAGGACACAGAACACAAATGGAACCTGCGTGTAGTTTCGGACTCCAGATCTGTTCCACAATAAGCTAAATATCATCTGCAAACATGAAACTAAAATGCTACCACAGTCCAGATTCACACCATCATATCAGAACCACTCCTTCAATCCCTTCAGTGGACGCGGTTTGTCAAAGAATATACTAACATTTTCTGCTGTTTGCCCATAAACTATAGACCTCTACAGTCCTTTACGACCCACGGATCAGTTTCCAGAACTAGAACCTAACGTTTGAAATCAAGACTGATGAGCTCTTCTCTCCATCTCTGAGCAGGAATCAAAGCTCCCTGCTGCCTGGGGGAGTGGCGGCCTAGTGGTTAGGGCGTAGACCTTGGAATCCTGAAGTTCTGAGTTCGAGCCCCACTCCAACAGACTGCCACTCTGGGTCCCTGAGCAAGACCCTTAACCTCCCCATTGTTTCCTGAGTACTGTACAATGGCAGCCCATTGCTCCCCAAGGGGATGGGTTAAAATGCAGAGAGTTAATTTCTCCAATTAGAGGTTAATAAAGTTTAATTATTATAAATCATTTAAAGTCACAGGGAGGCAACCGTTGCATTTCCTAATTCTCCCGAGTGGTGCCCGACTTTACACCAGTGAATAAAGTGAATGTAATTGGTCGATTATCAAGGGGGCGGGATTGTTGTGGCGGAAGGTTTGCAAGCAAGTTTGGTTGTGGCCGGTTTGTCGGAAGCATCTTGCTAACCAGTTAGCAGCTTAGTGCTAGTAGGTTCCCAATGGGAAATTCCATTGAGACCAAGTAGCACTAAATTGGTGACTTAGAAACGACGCTGTCAAGGAACGCTATGGACAGGAGAAACATGCAAGAGGAGGAGAGTTTAGCGTCGGAGGTCGTGGATGAGTCTCCTCCGTCATCCATTTTTTATTTAGAGGAGGAAAGCGGGGACGAAGATGTTGTGGAAGAGGACGCCAGGGCGGCAGAAGCTTGGTTTGGTGTAGAAGGCTTCCAGCCGTACATGTTTGAGCCCTTGCCTCGCAACGCTGCCAGTTCTGTTAGCTCTACGCCTGCAGAAGACACAGACGTCCATCCCCGTGAACACTGGGACGCAACTCAATGGGAAAGGAAAGGATTCTGATTTTAGGTGTTCAGGCTGACGTAGAACTAACTGGCCTGCAGAAGATAACGAAGAAAAAAAAACTGATTTTAAGACAGGATTTTTTTTTTTTTATAGAAATTTTCTAAATTATTGTCTGAAAAATATGGTCTGATAAAGAGAACATTTATATACATGTTTAAGCCAGAATGATTTGACATTTAAATATGATTTCCCTATGACTTTAAGGTTCTGCTCAATCTTTTCAGATCTGACTCAAGACTTAAACTAGATGCTTTAGACGCCTCACAGCCCTGACCTCTATGTGGAGGAATCCTGCTGGGGTCTGAAACTCTGTGCTGTTGGGGTTTTCCTTCATAATCTTCTGGATGCAGGAAGTCCACATCCATGACATACACTAGCACCAAGGTCCCCACACTCCTCCTTGATCTCAGATATGTTGCAAACATGGCGACAAACCCCAGCCAGCTTGCTAGGGCCACCTTTCAGCTCACTCAGTTGGGATGAAGACCTCCTGGGTTCTGAAACGTCTCCAGAGGAGATCTTTCATTAAAGTAGGGTCTCCGATCCCAACAAGCACATCACCTATGGTGCAAATAACAAAAGGCTTCATCATCTGCTTGTTGGAAACAAGAATATTAATGATCCCTGATTCATTTAGCCAGCTTTAAGAATACATTGTCAGAGCCGGGATAGAAAGGAACCGTCATAAAGCCTATTCTTTCTAAAACACATTTATTGTTTATGGAAAATGTACTCAAACACAGCGAGGACCGCCCCATCCAGCCAACCTGTATCCCTGAGCCGCCATCCGCGGTACCGTGACTGGACTGACTGGAGGTCTCAGGGGACAGGCTTCCTGTCACCCCACTGGAGCTTGAAGAGGACATCCCAGTTGCTCCACTGGGATCCTGAGCCTCTTTCTGGCTCTTAGGCATTCCCAAAACCAGCAACTGGCACTCCTGGGCCAGCTGTTTCTGGACTCCTCGTGTGTCCTTTCTACGGCACGGATCGCCGCTGAGAGCAGAACTTCTAGAAGACGCCTTACTGACAGTATCAGCTCTGTCCACAAGAGGTCCAGACTGCTTCTGTTCCCTGGCAGTCCAGCTAACCAGTGGAACCTCTGAATGTTGACTGGACACACTTCTCTTGGTAATCACAGGGCTCACAATCGGTGGCCCATCAAACAGGTGGTAATACTGCCTCTGGTCCATGGCGGATGGTCCGGGGTTTCCAGAGGACCGAGTCGGTTGGTAGGGATGCAGACTGGAAACGTCTTTAGATGGTGATGGTGTCCGTCTCAGTTGGGGGTCCAACACTGGTGACCCAGAGGCAGATTTTCGGTCCAACTGACTGGGAATGGCAGGAGAAGCTGGTGGAGGAGGTGCTTTTTTGGACATCATGGGAGAAATGCGTCCTGGTTTGGTTTGAGGTGCCAGCGTTTCTGTTCTTCTGCTGTGGTTCTGGTTCTCCGTCAGCTTCGGCTCGGGATGCCGGAGGTGAGATTCTTTCAGGGGCGGTCCTGAATATCTGGGACTCTCGGCTATCAGTGAGTCCGCCTCAGAGGGTGTTGGCGAGGGGGTCCATTTGTTCCACCTGTCAGCGGAGGTTCGGTTAGACTCTCCAAGTGCCTTATAATCTAGTTCGGTGATAGAGTATGGGGAGATGCTCCTCCTGTCACTGATGGGACTGTTGGCATCACTTGTTCTGCTACTGCAGCGGGGCGGATGGGAGCTCTTACTGTCTGACTGATCACTGCAGCTCCCAGCTTCCCATGGGCAATGACCGGAGTTGGTGGTTTTATCATGACATCTGTTACTGATGCCATGGTAGGAGTTCCTAGCATGGTGCTCAGTCCCTGCAGGAAAACTGCTTCTCGGGATCTCATGCTGAATGTCTGTAGGTCTCCCTGCAGGCAGAGGAGCCTGGAATGCGTTGAACCTATGACCTTCGCCCTGCACCCAGGGCCTCTGTGGACTTTGAAGAGGACCACGGGGTCGAGCTGATGAGTAGAATGAGTCGCCAGTTTGAGCAGACAGGCGATCAGACGCAGGACTTCTGGGTAATCGGTTCAGTGACCCATGGCAGAGTCTCCTATCCATCTCTAGGAGATCTCTTCTGGATGGTAGGGTCCGAGTACTACGGGACTGGACAGGGGAGCCACCCAAAGAGCGGCAGCGTGGAGCCTGAGATGGACTGTTGTTCTCTGATCTATGACCTGCAAACCTTCGCCTCAGTTCTGGAGACCCAAACTCCTCTAAGGCCCTATGGGTGGCGTCTCTGTCCACCGCCTCCATGGCGGCCTTCGATAAGGAGGGAGAGGAGTCTCTCTTATGCTGCAGCCTGTCGCCTGATGTCTGATCGCTGTACCACACTGGATCACTCATCCTCTTCTGCTGATCCTCCGTTCTCCTCAGATAATGGTCAGCATCGTGCTGGTGCCAGACGGTACCGTGTCCAGATATGCTGTTCACGCTGCCATTCTCTATGTACCCATAGGACACCAAAGATGTCTGTCCGTTTTCATCTAGCATTGCTGGGGCATGGCGGGACCTCGGACTGGTGCTGTAGGTGGAGGGGATGCTAAGCCAGCGGGGGGGTGAGGATGACTGGGGGTTGGCCACCTTCCCATAGCAGGGATCCAAGTCAGGTGTGCATCCAGGGGAGCCATAATGGTTTACAATGGCTTTGTTGGGGGTCAGAATCTCAAGCAAGTGGCCAAAACTTTCATTGAAAGCATCCTGATGATGGAACTGGGCAGGAGATGGATGTTGGCAGCTGACTGAATGCCTGGAAGATGACTGGGAGGAGGCCAGGCTGTGGTTCCCACCCGCTGAGCAGTAAGGCGTCACTGGGGATGGACTCCGGTTGGAACTGGACCGGCTGGAGCTCCTCTGAGAATGAGAGACGATATCTGGACACTGTAGCATCAACTGGTTGGCGCCATCATCGCCTGTACCCAGAAACTCCTCCTCCCCCTCAGAAACCGAGCGGACCTCCACATACAGGTGGAGCACTTTACTTGGCTGAGACATGGTTGCCTCTTTAACACCGGGGTCTTTCCTTTTGCTTAAATACGCAGAGGACTGCTGGGGTCCCGTAGAAGGCTGAGCTCTCTGGTCAGTCTGAACACCAGATCCATCCCCCATCAGCTCACACGTCCTGGAACCTGCAGCAAGAAGCACAGAGAAGAAAATCTGTTCAAATCTTTCCTCAGTTTTATCTAACCTCTGTGGTTAACCGTCTCAGGAAGAGGTTCAGTCTGAAAGCCCCTTAAAGTCGTAGAGAAGCGGCTGTTCCAACCGTTGCATTCCTGAATTCTCCCGAGTGGTGCCCGACTTTACAGCAGTGAATAAAGTGAATGCGATTGGTCAATTATCAAGGGGGCGGGATTGTTGTGGCGGAAGGTTCGCAAGCATTTTGGTTCTGGCCGGTTTGTCGGAAGCATCTTGCTAACCAGTTAGCATCTTAGTGCTAGCAGGTTCCCAATGGGAAATTCCATTGGGACCAAGTAGCACTAAATTGGTGACTTCGAATCGACACTGTCAAGGAATGCTATGGACAGCGGAAACATGCAAGAGGAGGAGAGTTTAGTGTCGGAGGTCGTGGATGAGTCTCCTCCGTCATCCATTTTTATGTAGAGGAGGAAAGCGGGGACGAAGAGGATATTGTGGAAGAGGACGCCAGGGCGGCAGAAGCTTGGTTTGGTGTAGAAGGCTTCCAGCCGTACATGTTTGAGCCCTTGCCTCGCAACGCTGCCAGTTCTGTTAGCTCTACGCCTGCGAAGACACAGACGTCCATCCCTGTGAACACTGGGACGCAACTCAATGGGAAAGGAAAGGATTCTGATTTCTTATTTCAACCGTTGCGTATATTAGCTGCAACATATGAATCAAGATGCTATGACCGAAAACATTTGATTGACAGATGACTGTTGATATATGATTGGCCGAATTTAGGTGTTCAGGCTGACGTAGAACTAAGTGGCCTGCAGAAGGTAACGAAAGAAATACAGATTTTAAGACAGGATTTTTTTTTTAAATAGAAATTTTCTAACTTTTGGGACAATATGGTCTGATAAAGAGAACATTTATATACATGTTTAAGCCAGAATGATTTGCAATTTAAATATGATTTCCCTGCGGCTTTAAGTCACCTGCTTCCTGTGGTCCTCATCAGACCGCTTAAAGCTGGGAGTAAAGAAGCTGCAGAAACTCGGTTCCTGCGTGTCTTTATGAGCGCTGGAGTGTCACTAAAAGGAGGTTTTCTGTCCTACTAACCAGAACCCCTCAGGCTTCTCCACGTCAGCAGCTCCTCTGGGTTCTCCATGTAGGTCAGTGGCTAACTGGATCAGAACCAACGTGGCTCATTTACGGGACGGAGGCTCAGACTGTAGCAGTAGAGAAAACTATGAAAGCAGATTGTTTCTGAAACAATAACTGTTTGCTAATCAGAGGTCAGAACAGCGGTTCTGCCATGTTCTACCTGATAATGGTGGCAGAACAGTTAGAAGCTCCTGATTTTAAAGGAACAATGCGAAATCAAACCAGAATCAAAGGACGACCCAACAAGTTTAGACGGTTCAGCTGCTGGTCCACAGAAGCAGCGGGGCGGTGCGACGGTCTATTGGTTTGAACCCGAAGCCCAAACACGCAGCGCCACGGCCAGTCTTTGGGGAACGCTCACGGGTGAACTGTGTGTCGTCCAGCGTTGGATGAGGGGTTGTAGACAGCGAACAGCTCATCAAACCGGCACAGGGACGCCCACAATCCTAGCTAGTTCCTGATTGTCCCTCTGGCGTTGTGGCGTGCGATAACAGCGCAGATCAATATTGGGTATAAATCAAAAATATCTGCGTCATACCTGCGACAAGCTAACTGCGACACACTGCTGCGGGACGATAACCTGCCCTTTAATCTGCTGATGAGTTTATTAAACTCTGTGTCTTTTCACACAGAAACGTCCCACAACCAGAACCTGTCTCACCGTGTGATAACAGTTCAGTTCGGTTAGAGGAGTCCGGATCAGGAGTCTCCGGTAGCTGAAGAGAAGCTGGTTCTGGGACGTGGATCATGGCGGACCAGCAGGAGTTCTGAACAAACATGCTAACCTGAGAATTGATCCCTGAAACCAGACCAGTCCCAGCGTCCCCAGGACCCGGTTCTGTAGTCATCAGCTCTCTGAGGAGGAGGATGATGAAACTTCCTGTTTACTTAAAGGCTCTACTTGATGAAAGGAGCCGACCGACCGCAGCCTGAGGCCACAGAGTTCTATCAGACGCTGAACTTTGAACCCAGTTTACAGCGTGGCTGGTTTTAGACCAGCAACAGAAACGGCGAAGAAACACTTTTCTACAGCAGAGGGTAGAGTCAGCTACTGAACCGGACCAGCACCAGTCCAGAACCGGGACAGCCTGCCGCTCAGCTGCAAAGAAAAGCCTCAGAGGGTCTGAAAAACTGATCATCCAGACCATCTTAAGGAAAATCAATTCAGCCTGAAATATGTAGAGAAAGAAATAAATTTCAGTTCAGAGTCAGAAAACTGCTCAATGGAACCAGTTCAGTCGTATTTTAGTATCTGTCAATCTGTCAACGCAGTACGATGAATCAGTTCAGTGTAAAGAACCAGTTCATTGAGAGATCTGTGAAGAAAGAAAAGAACCAGTTTAGAAGAACCAGTTCATTCAGGGATCCGTAAAGAAAGAAAAGAACCAGTTCAGAAGAACCAGTTCATTCAGGGATCCAAAAAGAAAGAAAAGAATCAGTTCATTCAGGGATCCGTAAAGAAAGAACCAGTTCATTCAGGGATCCATAAAGAAAGAAAAGAACCAGTTCATTCAGAGATCTGTGAAGAAAGAAAATAACCAGTTTATTCAGAAATCTATGAAGAAAGAAAAGAACCAGTTCAGAAGAACTAGTTAATTCAGAGATCCGTGAAGAAAGGAAAGAACCAGTTCATTCAGAAATCTGTGAAGAAAGAAAAGAACCAGTTCAGAAGAACCAGTTCATTCAGGATCTGTGAAGAAAGAAAAGAACCAGTTCAGAAGAACCAGTTCATTCAGGATCTGTGAAGAAAGAAAAGAACCAGTTCAGAAAAACCAGTTCATTCAGGGATCCGTAAAGAAAGAAAAGAAGCAGTTCATTCAGAGATCCGTGAAGAAAGAAAAGAACCAGTTCAATCAGAGATCCATGAGAAAGAAAAGAAGAAGTTCATTCAGAGATCAGTGAAGAAAGAAAAGAACCAGCTCAGAAGAACCAGTTCAATCAGAGATCCATGAAGAAAGAAAAGAAGCAGTTCATTCAGAGATCAGTGAAGAAAGAAAAGAACCAGTTCAAAAGAACCGGTTCATTCAGAGATCCGTGAAGACAGAAAAGAACCAGTTCAGAAGAACCAGTTCATTGAGAGATGTGTGAAGAAAGAAAAGAACCAGTTTATTCAGAAATCTATGAAGAAAGAAAAGAACCAGTTCATTGAGAGATGTGTGAAGAAAGAAAAGAACCAGTTTATTCAGAAATCTATGAAGAAAGAAAAGAACCAGTTCATTGAGAGATGTGTGAAGAAAGAAAAGAACCAGTTCAGAAGAACCAGTTCAATCAGAGATCCGTGAAGAAAGAAAAGAACCAGTTCAGAAGAACCAGTTCAATCAGAGATCCGTGAAGAAAGAAAAGAACCAGTTAGTTCAGAGATCTGTGAAGAAAGAAAAGAACCAGTTCAGAAGAACCGGTTCATTCAGAGATCCGTGAAGACAGAAAAGAACCAGTTCAGAAGAACCAGTTCATTCAGAGATCAATGAAGAAAGAAAAGAATCAGTTCAGATTCATGTGTTGAGGAACCAGGAACCACCTCCAGAAAGGTTTTGAGGAAGATCCCTTTCCCCTGTGAATCATTCAGAAGTTCTAACAGAACCGGTTCAGAACCAACTAAAACACAGTGAGGAGACCTTCAGAAGACCTGGAGAACCGCTGATCCAGGAAGGTCTGGATCCTGACTGGAGGTTCTGTGTTTTCAGACCACCTGATGGTTCTGCAGAAGCCAGAGCTAATGTGTGTTCTGTAAACTGCGTATATTAGCATTCAGTCAGCCCTACTTTACTTTGCTAATAGGATTCATTTATCACCCCCCCCTCCTCCTCCTCCTCCTCCCAGCATGCATCACTCAGCCTTCCAGCACACACACACACACACACACACACACACACACCCACATAGAGCTGTAACCTTACCTGAGTGTCCTCTGTCCTGCCGCTGCCGTGACGTCCCCCTGGTTGCCGTGGTAACCTGTTTCCTCCTTCCTCTCTGTGGCACTCAGTAACCTGGTCTTCGTCCTCTTCGTCCTCCTCTTCCTCTCTGAACACTTGTTGTCTGCAGCAGAGCCGGCTCATCGTGGATTTACTGGCTAAGCTCCGCCTTCTCGTCCTGATCCTGATCAATCAGCCACTGGCTCCTCCCTCCTCAGCTACAACCAATCTGAGGCTGGGTCTGCTCCTTCGGCCAATGGCGGATTGGAGGGGGTGGGGCTACTGACCTGATCAGGAAGCAGAGAGGTAGCACTGATTAATGATCAGGGATCACTGAGGTGTGATGTCACTCTGCTGCACTGTGATTGGCTGCCAGGGATCAGTGGTTCCAGCGGCCCAGGTGACCTGATAGCAGACTGGTTCTGCTGGTACTGATTGTACCAGGAACCTGATTTGAATCAACCTGTGCTGCTTTAGTAAACACTGGGCCTGGTTCTGATCCACCTGGAGAACATCTGAGCAGAGTCCATCTGAAGCCGCTCAGAGGTTCTGAATCCAGCAGAACCAGAGAACAGGATTCTCCTCACCTGAGATCAGCTGGGGTCCAACATCCCAGAACCGGCCTCGGTCCCACCTAGAAGTTAAAGCAGACGTCATGTTTGAGTCACAGAGCGCTCGGATCGACCCGGGTTTCTGTCAGACTGACGGTTCTTACCGGGTCGGGATCAGGGGTCCTCCTGTGAGCTGCTTTGCTTCATCCCACGTCTCCAACAGGTCCAAACCGGTCCAAAACCGCTCCACAGCTCCTCGTTACCCAACCCAACACTAGGGTCTGCTGTGCTACTGGTCGTCCGGCTCTGCAGATCTGGTTCTCCACCTTTCAGATCCTGAATCTTCTCCTCAGGAACCAGTCCAGTCATCTGGGCCAGCAGTTCTGGATCAGGGAGGAATGTTCTACAGAGTCCGTTCCTACTGGAACTGAACCTTCAGAAAGTCTGGACAGCCTCAACGCCTGGACTCAGAATCAGGCGTCCAATCAGAACCAGGCATCCAGTAGAGGAGGGTCACTGGTCGCTATGGTGATTCTCTCCATCATGGGGGGTGGAGGGACCAGAACCTTCTGGTGGTCCAAGTGTCCCCTTTATGTTTCTGACGGGTTCACTGAACCTACTGGAAGTGGATGAGTGTGGGCGTGTCTACCAGGGGCAGGATGATGATGATGATGATGATGATGATTTTTTAAGTATTAGGGAAGCTGCTGTTCCAACGGTTCTATTTCCGAATTCTCCCGAGTGGCGCCCGACTTTACACGAGTGAATAAAGTGAATGTGATTGGTCGTTTATCGCATTGGGACCAAGTAGCATTAAATTGGTGACTTAGAAACAACACTGTCAAGGAACGCTATGGACAGCGGAAACATGCAAGAGGAGGAAAGTTTAGTGTCGAAGGTCGTGGATGAGTCTCCTCCGTCATCCATTTTTTATTTAGAGGAGGAAATGCCGAAGACACAGACGTCCATCCCCGTGAACACTGGAACGAAACTCAATGGGAAAGGAAAGGATTCTGATTTCAACCGTTGCGTATATTAGCTGCGACACATGAATCAAGATTCTATGACTGAAAACATTTGATTGACAGATGACCGTTGATATATGATTGGCCGAATTTAGGTGTTCAGGCTGACGTAGAACTAACTGGCCTGCAGAAGATAACAGGGGAAAAAACAGATTTTAAGAAAGGATTTTTTTTATAGAAATGTTCTAAATTTTGGGACAATATGGTCTGATAAAGAGAACATTTATATACATGTTTAACTATAAATATACAACTTATTCTGATTTCTAATTTCACTTTTATTGATCCCACTTCACATCCACAATAAGCAGCAGAATGTTCTCCATCCAGGCTCAGACTGGGAATGATTTTCAGCCCTGGCATTTTTCCATCTGCACCGGCCCCACTTCTGGACGGTATGATTTAAGGAGGCCGGCCCTCGCCGATGAAATCAGGATCGGCCCAGCGGGCAGATGCCCGCTATCAAGGATGACCAATCCCAGCCTGCTCTCCACCACATTTACAGCATTTATTCTTTACTTTTTTACCACATTTTCCATATTCCTGATCTCCAGCAGACCTTCCATCATTGTTTTCATTTACATTAAAGCTGCTAAATTACCAGATTTCTGGCATTTCAAACATCAGAGGCGACGATTAAACATTCTGACATTTTAGATAATATTTCCAAGAAAAACTTTACTGCTCTTCTTCCAATGTGATCAACACTGAAAGGTTGTCACACCTTTCTCCCTCCACCAACATCCTCCTTTCATAATGGATGTACTTCCTGCTCCCAGAGGCAGCTCTCCCCTGATTGGCTGGGCTCCTGCTGACGTCGCCTGCTCCCTGTCCTCTAAAGGTCACTGGACCTTCTGCATCCTGGAGGATGCAGAAGGTCCACTTCCACTTATTTCAATAAATCTGCATTAAATGCATCTTTAATTATTAAAAACGTCAACATGATCAGAAAAGTTATCTTAAAGAAAAAACGCATTTTTTTTTGCTCCGTAAAAAAACAGTCTCTTTCGATTCTAAGCAGGATTCGGGAGCGAGGATCCCCCTGCAGAAATGTCTATTTTAACATTATTGCAGGAGTTTTCCGCTCAGAGCAGAACTCTGTCAGTATTTTAACAATATTCTGTTTTATTAGCACATGTTTAAATGTTCGGCTGTCATATAATCTCTAATCGATCATCTTAAAATGAGACTTTTCCAGGATCCTGTTGTTGCTGTAAGAAGCGATCAGCGGGGAGGACCGCTGCTTCAACAACAACAGTTTCTGGAAAAGTGGGAATATTATTTCCATAAGCAGCTGTTTGCTGCAGCTAAAACCAGAGCCGAATTCACCGGAGGGGCTCTTATTCTGACCCAGTCTGCAGACTGAGTTCTAAAGCAGCTTTAATCTTGTAAATTATTAGAATAAACCGAAATCTTAACATGTTTTTATAGAGTTTGGCGAAGCGGTTTCTTACCTCCAGCAACGGAGTGAGGTGGGGAGCTCAGCGGCTCTCAGCGGCCCCTGGAAGCCCACAGAAGTGCGGACGTGGACTCGCCCTGTAGGTCCATCCACGGTACTGGTGTCGGTAACGCGCAGAGGGACCAGTTGGAGCAGTAACGGTCATCTGCGTTACAGCCCCGGGATAGAGAGCCGAACCCCGGCTGGAAGCGGCCCGTGGTTCCGGTTCGGCCTCCACTGTTCCGCCGCTTCACGGATTTCTGCTCCTGTTTGAATTTATTGATGTTTTCCAGACAGCTGCTGCACTTTAGTTTACCTTCTCCACGGTGACTTACATTTCCGCATCGTTAAGGTGACGTAACAATACGTCAGAGGGGATCTACCAATCAGAAAACAGTCAAATGTTTTTTAAAAGCGTTTGTTTTTTTTATTTCCATAAAAGTAAATCTGTGATGAATGAGAGGAAAGTTACAGAAACCTCTGATTGTTTTTAACAGGTCAGACTTTATTAATCATCCATTCAGCATCAAAGCAACTTTATTTATCCAGAACATTTCATGCAGTGTTCCTCACAGCAACACAATGAAACAAATTCAATCATTACAAATATATGAAAAATAAATAATATATATATAATTTTGTCTCTGTGTTGCCCTGGCTACCTGACCAGGGTGGACCCCGCCTCTCACCCACTGACAGCTGGAGACAGACACCAGCACCTCTCACCACCCCAGCAGGGATAAGAGTGATGGAAAATGGATGGATGGATTTCTTAATCCCAGTTATTCGGCTGGAGCGGTGGCGCCCTCTATTGGCCAGCCACCACTGGTCTCCAGTCAATCATAGAACAGCAGAGACGTACAACCAGCAAACTCCCACAATTCAAATACACCAATTAACCTGAGAATGATTTTGGACAGTGGGAGGAAGACAGAGTACCTGGAGAGAAGCAGGTATCCACAGGGAGACCATGCAGAAAAAGATCAAACTCAAGACCTTAATGGGCGGCAAACTGAACCACCATTATTATAGGATATATTACCCTTAAAATTACACATTTTTCTTTTTTTGGAGTTTTTTTCGGCACTAGTGACTCATTTTTAGGACAGTAGGCTGACAGGAAAGCGGGAATGAGAGAAAGAGGAAGAGACATGCAGGAAAGGACCACAGGTCAGATTCAGGCTGGAACCCGGGTCGCCCGCGTCGAGGACTAAAGCCTCCTTACATGGGTCCACCACTGCCCCACCTGCACCCCCAAAACGACGCATTTCTATTGTTTCTTTAAAACATCCTAATTATTCATCCTACACAGGAAGTGCTTCACTTTTTAAATAAAGCATTTATTGGGTGAAATCTGGACTGGTTTCTGTTTCTGTCAGTGAAAACGAACCAGATGTGAAGCTCCAGCTGTGGATCAGAGGTCAACACTAACTACAGACTTTTACTTCAGATTTTTTTTCTTTGTAAAATAAGAATTTGACTTTTGTTATACCAAATAGATAAACCTTTAACTTTTACGTCTTCACTTAATTATTTACTGATAAAGATCAACAGGAATGTATCCTGAAAGGATTTGTTGATGTGAGAAAGAGAAGAAGAACTGCCCTGTTCCTTGTGGTCCATTCTGCTAATGGCTCGCTGTTAAAAACAGACCTGGTTGCTTTTATTCCTCTAGAGACGAGGAAGTTATTCCCCCCACTTTGTTTCACTCTAAATATCGCCTGAAAACCTGATTAGTCCTTAACTGTTCTGCATTATTTGAGGAAAAGTGAACGATGAACTTTAGTGTATTTTCTCTCTTAGGCAGAGCTGCAGGAGGAACTCTGAGTTTTCAGGCAGAGCACGGTAGTGGACGTATGTTACTCTCAGTGGTGTCAAAAGTTCACACGTTCGTTACTTAAGTAGAAGTATAGATACTGCAATTTAAAAACACTCTGGTAAAAGTTGAAGTATCAACTTGACCTCTTTACTGAAGTAAAAGTGAAAAAGTATGTGCTCCAAAAACTACTTAAAGTATAAACGTATAAAAAAAGCAGCTAGATGCCGCTATATGAACTGAAAGTTACATTTTACGATTATTTCTATAATTCTCTGAGATAGGGCCAAGGATGAGGGAGGCCTTGTTGGTCTCCGTCTCCCGATACGCTCTCGCCTGTGTCCGACCTTTCAGACATTTCAGCATCTTTTTCTGAATCCCACATTGTAGCATGGCATAGACAATTCACGTTAGCAGTTTGAAGAACACCTGCTTGCTTCTGATGATTTCCTTTAGCTAACCAATGAGTGTTTGCGTTCTATGACTCATCCAATCAAACTAGTTTTCACTAGATGTGGGCGGAGCCAATGATCTGCATTGGATGGAGCACATGACGGGAAATAAATATTTAGAAACATTAAACTGAAGCCAAGAGTAACGAGTAACGTTTGATTTGAAAATGTAAGGAATAGAAAGTACAGATACCTGTGTGAAAATGTAATGAGTAGAAGTCAGAAGTAATGGAGTAAAGTATAAATACCTAAAAAGTGTACTTAAGTACAGTTACTAAGTATTTGTACTTCGTTACTTGACACCTCATCCGCTCTACATGCACCGTTTCTATAAAAGGAAAGTAAAACCTCCTTCTTTTCACGTCAGAATAAACTCAGTACCAGTCTGACTTTTATTAGAGTATTTTACTGTTAAAGTATTTTCTACTTTACTTAGTTTTTTGTGGTTTTGAATCCTTCCTGCTCCTCTGATGAGGATCCACAGTTGAACCTGGACCTGTCTGAACCCTCATGGTCCACACAGGTCCAGGTTCTGGTTTCCTCCAGCAGGGGGTGCTCATTCCCAGAACATGATGGAACCCACTGATCTCTATTCATTCTCTGCTAGCTGATTGCCGGTTGGTAGTACGGGGTTGAAGTGAAACCATAGGCCGCCATATTGGTACTCCCTAGTTAGACCGGTCTCAATGTAAACAATCTGTGCTACAGCATCGAACAACCATGATGTGCTCATTTTCAGGGACTGAAGACTATTAAATTAAAGATAAAATCATCACTTTGACACAGACTGACTGTTTCATAGCATCAGTAGATTAACTTTAACTTAGAATGAAAAGATAGGCCCATCACATTACATAGTCATTATGAAGTCAATAAATCATGTAATATAACATATTATACAATCCATCACAATGAAATTAATGTGTTGATGGAGCAGAATAATACAGATGAGCCTAAAGTGATAAATTGATGATGTTCATGTAATATTCAATTCTATTCAATTCTATTCAGTTTATTTCTATAGCTCCAATTCACATCATGTCATCTCAGGTCACTTTCCAGTTCACCAGATCATCCAGTCAGATTGGTTCAAAGTTTTCTATCTAAGGAAAACCAGCTGATTGCATCGACTCATTGACTCTTCAGCAATCCCTCACACTAAGCATGCTTGTAGCGACAGTGGAGAGGAAAAACTCCCTTTGAACAGGAAGAAACCTCCAGCAGAACCAGGCTCAGTGTGAGCGGCCATCTGCTGAGGCCCACTGGGGTTCAAGGAGACAGAAGCAGACATAGAAAAAGAAGCATAGATACAAAAGGCAACTGTCAACCAGCTCCACAGGCGGCCCCGTCCAGGAAACACACAGCCAGGCAGACGAGCTCCGAGCCAGCTCCCATGTCAGAGGATGAAGAGAGCACATCCAGTTAGTCACAGTCAGAGAAACAGGACTACACTGGAAAACAGGCCAAGCTCCAACATCTAGAAACAAAGGTGTTGATGGCAGCAACACAGCTGATATTTCTCTCCAGGATGGAGTCACAGCCAAACAGGAACAGACCAGATGAAGCTACTGTGAGAAAAAGCAGAGAGAGCAGAACGTTAGAGATTGAACTAACAGATTCTGCAGAGTGGGAGAATAGAGATAGAATGAAGCAGAATGATGAAAAAGGGGTCCCTATGTCCTCCAGCAGTCTAAGCCTATAGCAGCATAACTATAGAGATAGCTCAGGATAACCTGCGCCACTCTAACTAGAAGCTTTATCAAAAAGGAAAGTTTTAAGCCTAGCCTTAAAAGTAGACAGGGTGTCTGCCTCACGGACTAAAACTGGTAGTTGGTTCCACAGGAGAGGAGCCTGAGAACTACAAGATCTGCCTCCCATTCTACTTTTAGAAATTCTAGGAACCACTAGTAAACCTGCAGATTGAGAGCGAAGTGCTCTGTTAGGAACATAAGGAACAAATGACAAATAGACATCTATTGATGACATTGCTATGGTTATTACATTTAATTTCAAGATTTTACATCAAGACTGAATTACAAGTACGCGTCTGTTACTGCTGTAGTATGTTTCTAAAGTACTGCATGCATGATGCCGTATACCAGAGGTAACCATTGAAAATCAATGGGGTAAATAAAGAATGACTGCATTAACATTTCACAGTGAATTACTTGATATTTCCTCTATTTTCTAACGTTAGACCCAATGTCAGTGGCTAACTCAGTCAATGTCTTCCAGTCAGTCTGAGACTAATGTTAGTCTGCAGACTAATGTTAGTCTGCAGACTAAACTATAGGATCCATCGGCTATAGATGGATTTATTGCTTAGTTCATCCACTGACTGGGAAATTACCAGTGGAACGTCTTCCTGCAGACAGAAAACTGCTGCTTTTAGCAGCTAAATGCTGCACAGGGAGGGATTTTACTGCGTGGGAGTGGGGAGTACCGATATGGCAGCCGGTGGCTTCACTTTTTTTGGGCAATCAGCAATCCACTGAATAGAGATCAGGGGATGAACCTCTGAGGAACGTGAAGAAGTTCCCTGATGATGTCACTGATGTGACTCCCGTCAGTTTCCTGATTATTTATCAATAATCACTGATTTCTGATAAACTGACCCAGAACCTCTGAGGTTTTAAGGAATTTATCTTTAACAATTAAAAAATCTGTGATCATGATGACATCACTGCCCCAGTTTCTGAATCTCTGAGGCAAAGTTTAGATGATTGAGGACGTCCTGGTCCTCTAGAAACGCCTGGAGATCAGGATCCAGTATAGCTGCAGGTTTCTAGACTCCTGGAACCAGTCAGGGTGGAGCTCTGAGATGGAGGTGTCTGATGGAGGTCACAGCGTTCCAGGAGGAAGCGTGTTCCTCAGCCTGCTCTTCCTGTTGGTCTCCATTACCTGGTTCTGACGTCACTGTTTACCTGAACAGCAGCCGTTCTGTTCTGTTTGGTTCTAGCCAGTCTCACCTGGATTCCTCCTCGCTGACCTCATTGAGTCCTCCTGCTCCTCGTTAAGGTCTCTGAAGGTTGGACCCGCCTGACATTCTGCACATTCTGTCAAACCAGCAACCCTGACCTACTTTCCCTCTGAAACATTTCAGCACAACTAAAGACAACAAACATCTGCAGCAGATCTAAGATGGCTTCTCCTCTTCCTGTAATTATACATTAAATGAACATAAATCACAGCAGAGGACATTTAAACAGTTAATGTTCCAACCCACAAACCCCCCACCCCTCACACCCATTCATTCACCTACACTGAATTCATTCATTCATCCATAAATTACATTTTCTGAATAAGCGTTTATTATTGTCCCCCCATGTCCCTCCATGTTCTCTACAGATCATCAGCAGAAATAGTCTTTGGTTCTAATTATGCAGAAGTAAACAGCAGATTTTATGTCATTAAAAAAACAATAAAAACGATTAATTAAAGCGAACAAAAATGATTCAAATAAACACAATATTAAAAATGAAGAATAAAGTTGGAAAGCTGACTAATAAAGGTTAGATAGAAACACCTCCAGCTTTATTTCCAGCTCAGAAGTTTGTTAGAAACTCTGCAGGTTCTGATCTGATCCAGGACCTCACCTGTAGGCCCCGCCCCCTAGGCTTTATAAGCAGCGGGCAGGTGAGGGGCAGGCAGTGAGGAGGAAGAGGCTTTCAGCTGAGTTTCTAAATAAAGTTTCGGTGAAGATGATGGAGATGAACGACACGGAGCTCCTGCCGTCCCCGTTCGGCTTCGAGAGGCGGTTCGATGAGCGCGGAGCGATCCGGTGGATGCAGGAGAACTGGTGAGCTGCTCCAGAACCCACCTGTCCTCAGGTACCGACAGATTTTAAAACGACCCAGTAGAGCGAGAACATCTGGAACCCCGCGGGATTTTTTTCTAATCTGAAAAGATGAAAAATTCCCAGATTCCATTTAGAAAACCCGCCATTTAAAATAATCCCGATAATCTCTCTGATTCAGAATATCTGTGTAAAGCGATTCGGGAGGTTCGGAAACCCATCCGGTCCAGGGTGGTTCCGGCTGACCCATTTCTCTTCAAACGGGTCGTTTTGAAGCAGAGTTTCACTGAAACTGGTCTGTTTTTAATGGGAACCAGTCCAGTGAATCTGTTGCTACAGACGCACAGATTCAATGATCCAGTCATGCGTTCTGCGTGTTTCTTGGTCTCCAGAGAACTTCCTCTGCCATCTGATTCAGCCGATTAGAAGATCTGATGTCAGTCATTCAAAAACACTTTAAATTTCGTTTGTTGAAAATCTATCAGAGTTCAGATCCGCTGCGAATCTGGAACCGGTCTGATTTATGAATGGAGTTTCGGGAGGGGCGGATTAAAGTGCCTGGGTTGACACGTGTGTTCAGAGGGAGGCTGCAGGTGGAGTGCAGGTGAGACGCCGTGACATCAGAGGCACGGTTTGTTATGATTCGTGGATCAGGTCAATCTGGTTCCTGGCCATGGTGATGAAACCCAGAGGGAATGTTCTGGAAGTTCAGGTATGAGACCCGCCCAACTTTGATGAACAGGATTAAAAACTGTTTCTACTGATCCTTTAATGGTGCTTTGGGTGTGACATCAGTCGGTCAACAAGGTGGAGCCAGAGGAGATGGAGTTTAACAGGTTCTCCATGGAAAACATCATGGTCTCCATGGTTACTGCAGGCAGGTGGACCTTCTCAGAACCACTCAGTAGAAATTTTATTTATTGTCCTTCAGGCTGATGAAAGATGAAAAACAAAATAATTAAAGTTGGAGAAGATGCTGGAAAAATCTAAAGGTCACTTTGATTTTTGAGCATCGAACCTGCAGGGAGGAAGGATCTGCGATATCGTTCCTCAGTGTCCCTGCGGTGGAGCAGTTCTCCCAGAGCTGCTGCTTATGAAGGCCAGCAGGTGTGAGAAGAACCTGCTGGTTGAAGCGGCTCCCAACCATCTGGGTTTTAACATCAATGTCTTTCTGTCCTGCAGGAGCAAGTCCTTCATGTTCAGCGCGCTCTACGCCGCCCTGGTGTTCGGAGGCCAGCACTACATGAAGCCTCGACCCAAACTGAATCTGCGGCTGCCGCTGGTGCTCTGGTCGCTGAGCCTGGCCATCTTCAGGTAAGACACCAGAACCATAGAGCTGCATGGCTCTGCCGGGACCTGTGGGAGCAGCGCACCTGCTGCAACCAAAGTCCATCCAGCCAGAACCAGTCTCCATGGTAACCAGCAGCATGCCTTGCATTGCGTCATGCATTCCTGACCTGAGGAGTCAGAATGTCTGCTGTGCGTCTCCATGGAAACCAGTTTCACCTGCTAGACGGGTGTGGCCTGTTTGGAGCGGGTGGAGGTGCAGCGATCAGTTGGGATCCAGACAAGATGGTCTCCTGAACCAGCTCCCCCCGCCCCAAACGGGTCCAGGTTTCAGTTCCACTGGAAGCCGGACTGGTCCTTCGCTGCCAGTGGGCAGGGCAGGGGCTCGGCAGTCGGACCGGTTCTGACCTCTGTCATCAAACATTCCTCTGAAGCTCTCCGGGTTCTGATGGATCCTTTCTGTTGGCAGCATCATCGGGGCGGTTCGGACCGGTTCCTACATGATCCACATCCTGAGATCCAGCGGCTTCAGATGCTCCATCTGTGACCAGAGCTTCTACAACGGACCCGTCAGCAAGTTCTGGGCCTACGCCTTCGTCCTCAGCAAAGCTCCAGAACTGGGTGAGTAATCCTGGGGGTTCGGACCCCATCAGAACCTTAAAGGTGGAGGTTCTACTGGGTTGGAAGTTCTGGATGTTTGGTGGTAGATTGAAAACAAACATCAGAACTTTTCCGGCGTTTCGAGGACTGGATGGTTCTGAGGTTGACCTGCTGAGTCATGGCTAACGATGGTTTCTGTCCCGTTTCCAAGGTGACACAGCCTTTGTGGTGCTGCGGAAGCAGAAGCTGCTCTTCCTGCACTGGTACCACCACATCACAGTGCTGCTCTACTCCTGGTACTCCTACAAGGACATGGTGGCCGGCGGCGGCTGGTTCATGACCATGAACTACGGCGTGCATGCCCTCATGTACAGCTACTACGCAGCGCGCGCCGCCGGCCTGCGCGTGCCACGCCCCTTCGCCGTGCTCATCACCAGCGCCCAGATCGCCCAGATGGTCATGGGGCTGACGGTGAGCGGGCTGGTCTACCGCTGGATGCAGCAGGGCGACTGTCCGTCGCGCGTCGATAACATCACCTGGGCCACGCTCATGTACCTCAGCTACCTGCTGCTCTTCTCCAACTTCTTCTACCAGACGTACCTGCGCCCCGCCGACAAGGCCAAGACCCAGTGAGGCCGCTGGGAGCCGCGGGCCGGACCGGGTCCAGAGGAAGCTAAATGTTTATGTGTTTTATGGACTGAAGGAGCTCCGGTTCTGATCCAAATGGGTCAGAAAATTCCCCTTTTTTTCTGTATTTATTTGTTCTGAACTCATTGATCCGAGCGAGATTACCTGTTAGCATGTCTGTTAGCGGGTCAGATGACTGGTCGGGTCACCCCCCTTCCCCCTCACACACACACTGTTTCCTGTTCAGAGGTATGAAGGATCCTGATTGGCTGCTGGAGGCCTCCTGATTCACCTGAACGTTCCTTAAAACGGCCTCCGTTGGAGGCGGTTCTGAAGTGACTGTAGAACCGGGTCAGAGTTCTGGTCACCATGATGAACCTCAGATCTCACTGCACTAAGGCTGTTCTCTGGAAGGGGGGGGGTTATGCTCGTTTATTTAATGAAATTTAATAAAATAAGTTTTTACATTTGTAAGTTCTGGTTCTGAGTTTTTAAAACCCGTAGATGTTCAGATATTTGGCTCTAAATGGACCTGAACGGAACCGTCTGGGTCCAATATGGCCTCAGTCTGCCTGTTTTCTGAGGGTTTGTTTTAAATGTGATTAGCTGGAAACATTTCGCTGTAGCGATGGCGTTCTCTACAGTCCAACTTTATTTATAAAGAACTTTTAAAATTTCTACAAGGACCAGAGTGCTGGAACACCACAACACAGACGTATAAAAGATCAAATAAAATCTATAATCTATGGAAGAGGATTAGGGCCACTTAAAAAAAAAAGTAACTGCTTTTTACTTTATTTCAGTATAATATGAGGGGAAAAAGTCAGAATTCTGATTTTAATCTCAGAATTGTGGATCTTGATGTAGATGGACGCCATGAAGGCAGAGATGTGGAGCTCTCAGTTTCAGTAGTTTGGGAGAAACAGGAACACATTGGTGGAAAATTATGGAATTAGGAGACTATTTCTGTGCCTAAGGGTCCCTGCTGATGCTGTTTGATTAATGGAAGAGCAGAAGGTGATTAAAACCAGAGAGCTAGTCTCTAAAACAGACATGGCTACGGCTTGATGCTAACATGTTTGTTAGCTGTCAGAATTCTGAGATTTTTTTTTTCCCATATTAAACTTTAATATTTAAACTCTTAACTTTTTATTTTTTCAGTGGCCCTAATCCTCTTCCATAATGAAAATAAAATTAATTTAAAATGTATCACAAACTAAACTGAACTTCTCGTACAGTTTAGAAAGCCAAGGCAAAGATTGGTTCTTAAGAGCGATTTAAAATCAAAGAATTAGACAAATTTGCAGCACAGAGAACCACTTTAGTTTTTGGTCCCTGAAGAAGAAGCTGATTGGCTGACCTGAGTAAAGGGGCGGGTGTATGAAGGTGCAGCAACTCAGATAAGATGGAGCAAGACCATGGAGAGACTTAAAAACAAAACACCTTTAAAGTAATCCTAAAATGAACAGGGAGCCAGTGGAATCAGGCTAAAATGGGGGTAATCTGCTCATATTTCCGAGTGAAGGATGAAAGACGTGCTGCAGTGTTTTGCGCTCTCTGGAGTTGAGCAATATTAGAGGCACTAACCCCCAAATGAAGGGCGTTACAGTAATCCAGCCGGGTAGAGATATATGCAGGGATTACTGTCTCTAAATGAACCGTCCCTGGATCGTCCATCAGCCCACGGTTCAGAACAGCAGCGTTAAAAATCCTCAGGCTTAAGTCTTGAAAATGATTTTCAGCTGAAAATATTAAACTTTTGTGTCTTTTCAGTCCCAATCTGCTCTGGTTTGACTTTGTCTTACATTTGAAGTTAATTCAGAGGTTAATAAACTGTTTCAGAGGAGTGATCATAGCGCTCTGCATCAGCAGTGCTGCGTCTGACTCCCTGCCAGCTCCCAGATCAGCTTCTCTGATTGGTCGATGAGGCGCGTCCAGCAGCTAAAGGTCAATGTTTCACCTCAGAAGCTCGTGAGGCGCTGCTCCTTCTGCTCCTGGTGCTCTAAACACGCTGCAGGACCTTTTGCTGCACGTTGATGCTGGTCAACCAGTGACTTTGCATGGAAACCAGCTGCCTCTGCTGCTTACAGTCTGAACGCAGCATTAGACATTTGGTACATTTCAAATCTGCAGCCTTATAAATCCAAAGAGCCATTTCCTCCCACAGTCCGGCTAAATATTAGATGAGCCTTTAATAAAACTAATATCTGCTTTTCCATTTTAAACAGGTTTTTGTACTTTTTAAAAACAAGAGAAACATTTGATAAAAGGTGTGGACTGTGGAAAAACAAACTGAGAAGGAAACAGGAACCTAGAAACTTATTTTCTGTCGTTTTAATTTCATTCTATTGTGAAAATTAAATTTTTTTTTTAAATCTTCTGAGACTTTGTTGCACTAAAGAAGCTGAGCGCCCCCTGGTGGAGCCTGCCTGTCAGTGATGAAGCCTCATTTAGACAAACCCTGATAGACTGCAGGGGCGGAGCCATGATTTTTGAAAGGGGGCTGCACACCTCAGGGTTATGTCAAGACAACATGAAGCTAAATGATGATAAGGGTGAAAGTTGCTGAAAGGCTCGATGCTTTTCCGCCTGAATGTCGTTCTTAGTTCCTCCTTAAATTGTAGGTGTTAGGAATGATGGCCTAGTGGTTAGAATATAGAGCTTGAAATCTAGAGGTTCTGAGTTTGAGCCCCACTCCCACAGCCTGCCACAAAGGGAGGGGTTAGATGCAGGTTTCCAAAATGGGGGCCTGCCCCGCCCAATCTGCAGGTTTACTAGTGGTTCCTAGAATTTCTAAAAGTAGAATGGGAGGCAGATCTTTTAGTTATCAGGCTCCTCTCCTGTGGAACCAACTACCAGTTTTAGTCCGTGAGGCAGACACCCTGTCTACTTTTAAGGCTAGGCTTAAAACTTTCCTTTTTGATAAAGCTTCTAGTTAGAGTGGCTCAGGTTATCCTGAGCTATCTCTATAGTTCTGCTGCTATAGGCTTAGACTGCTGGAGGACATAGGGACCCCTTTTTCATCATTCTGCTTCATTCTATCTCTATTCTCCCACTCTGCAGAATCTGTTAGTTCAATCTCTAACGTTCTGCTCTCTCTGCTTTTTCTCATAGTAGCTTCATCTGGTCTGTTCCTGTTTGGCTGTGACTCCATCCTGGAGAGAAATATCAGCTGTGCTGCTGCCATCAACACCTTTGTTTCTAGATGTTGGAGATTGGCCTGTTTTCCAGTGTAGTCCTGTTTCTCTGACTGTGACTAACTGGATGTGCTCTCTTCATCCTCTGACATGGGAGCTGGCTCGGAGCTCGTCTGCCTGGCTGTGTGTTTCCTGGACGGGGCCGCCTGTGGAGCTGGTTAACAGTTGCCTTTTGTATCTATGCTTCTCTTTCTACGTCTGCTTCTGTCTCCTTGAACCCCAGTGGGCCTCAGCAGATGGCTGCTCACACTGAGCCTGGTTCTGCTGGAGGTTTCTTCCTGTTCAAAGGGAGTTTTTCCTCTCCACTGTCGCTACAAGCATGCTTAGTGTGAGGGATTGCTGAAGAGTCAATGAGTCGATGCAATCAGCTGGTTTTCCTTAGATAGAAAACTTTGAATCAATCTGACTGGATGATCTGGTGAACTGGAAAGTGACCTGAGATGACATGATGTGAATTGGAGCTATAGAAATAAACTGAATAGAATTAAACTGGAGGTTTCACTGATAGGTTTGCTCCGGTAAAGAACAAAGCATCAACCAATCAGTGGACAGATGTTCAGAGGAGGATCAGCGGGTTCTAAAGGTCCGGCTGGAGGTGATGACCTTCGATCGGACGTTCCGGGACGGAGTCGCTTCGGACCGTCCTCAGAATAATCAGAACATGGACTCGTTTCAGACTAGTTTTTGTTTATTCATTAAAAATCTTACAGTGATTCTAAAATAGAAAAAGGCCGGTTCTGTTAAGGCATCAGGGCTACATGTGCAAACAGAGCAGAAAAAGCTGGATCAGAACCAGAACTTTCAGGTTAACTAGTGTCTGCGGTGCAGCAGCCAGGGGGCGCCGTCTGACGCTTTATCAGAGGTTCTGTCGGTTCTAGAAGGAACCGACAGAACCTCAACTAGAACCCTCTGGGTCAGACGGTACAACAGAGCTTTGCCTTCAGGCTCTTTCGGATTGGTTCCACCTTAAAGGTCAGAGGTTAGACAGAGCGAGGGTTGGATAGGAACCTTCCTCCTCCTCTTCCTCATCATGGCTGCTTCTGCTGCATCTCCCTCCAGCTCTTCCACAGCAGCAGGTCCCGACTCTTCCCCAGAGCGACCATCCAGCGCGGCAGCCTGAAGCCGTTGAACTGACCCACGCCGTCGTCCCGCCCCATCGCCAGCAGCATGGTGACGCTTCCTGAGGAGGGAGGAGGTCAGAACCATCAGCCCTGCAGCTTCACGCTGCCTCCAGCTCACCTTCAGCTCAGCTTCTACCTGTGCTGTACGTGCTCAGCGGCTTCCCGCTCAGGCTGTTCAGGATGTTGCCAACGGCAACGGAGGCGTGGAGCCCGGCGTGGTACGCCAGCTTAGGCTCCTGAAGGTCGGCGCAGTCGCCCACGGCGTAGACGTTGGAGAAGCCTTGGACCTGCAGGTGGTCGTTGACCTTCAGAGCTCCGTCCTCAGCCATGCTGGCAGCTGGAAGCACAGACACCACATCAGATCAGAGTACGACCTTCACACGACCTTCCACTGAGCCCAACTCCCAGAATCCTCTGCTGCTCAGATCAAGGCAGAGAGGCGAGGCTGAATGGGTCAGTGGTCAGGAAGGAAGGAAGGAAGGAAGGAAGGAAGGAAGGAAGAATAGAAGCTAGGAAGAAAGGAAGGAAGAAAGGAAGGAAGAAAGAATAGAAGCTAGGAAGGAAGGAAGGAAGGAAAGAAGGACGCTAGGAAAGACGGGAAGATGGAAGGAAAGAATTAAGAATAGAAGCTAGGAAGGAAGGAAGGAAGGAAGGAAGAATAGAAGCTAGGAAGAAAGGAAGGAATGAAGAATAGAAGCCAGGAAGGAAGGAAGCTAGGAAAGACGGGAAGATGGAAGGAAATAATGAAGGATAGAAGCTAGGAAGGAAGGAAGGAAGGAAGAATAGAAGCTAGGAAAGGAAGGAAGGAAGGAAGAATAGAAGCTAGGAAAGGAAGGAAGGAAGGAAGAATAGAAACTAGGAAGGAAGGAAGGGTTCTCCCTTTTAATAAGGGAATCATCATCAAGAACAGAGCCTGGATCCTGTTGGGGTCCAGTGGTTCTGTTGGTTCTGGTTCGGTCCGTTTGTCCTCACTGTAACTGAACGTCCCTTAGAAGAATCAGAGAGTTCTGCAGCAGGAGGATCCAGCCTGAGAACATGGAGGTCGAAGGCTGACAGCGGAGGTCAGAGGTCGTTTGGACCCACCCAGGCTGGAGGCGTAGGCGGCGGAGTTGATCCTGATCCCGGTGCAGCTGATGATCAGGTCCGTTCTCAGAGT